TTTTTGCGGATATTTTTGTCTTTTTTACCGACTTCAAAAAAAGGAGGAGGTTCTCAATTCGTCTGTATGTTCTTTTTTTTGTATGTATGTTACGCGATAACTCCGCCATTTGTGAATTAATTTTGATGATTCTTTTTTTGTTGGAAAGGGGGTATACTTTCATAGTGGTCCCATTTCATTTTGAAGAAAATCATCCACCTCGAAGGGTGGCTGTTCACGCATGAAGATTCATTTTCATAAATAGCGCCTAACATTAATTTAGGAGCAAATACTTTACTTGCTATTTCTCCAATTCAAGGCGTTTTTCTCTCAATATACTTTGAGTAGTGAGAACCGATTTTTATTATCTCCAGTGTCAAGTCCTGTATAGTGGCGAACTAGGGGATATTTCAATAAAACTTAGCAAATAGACTTAATTCCACGTACTTTTGAGGTCGGTTTTTTAGTACTCTGTACAGAGATTATAGCTAAGACGTTCGCAACGCAGCTTTAGGTTCAATGTGAAGTCTACACGAAGGTGACATTCACACTTTGGTTTCTTAAATTATATTGTACTTAAGTTATGTTGTTATTAGAATTAAAATGAAAATCATTTCGTTCAGTTTATTTAAATAAATATTATTTATTTATTATATATTATTTCAATAAGTTTCTTGTTCCTTACACAACGAGTTGTCTCCATACAATTTTTTTTTAAAACATTGTTGTACTGTCGATATCTATGTATTTCATTGTCTTATCTAATGACAATTTTACTTATCATGTAATTAATATACTCAACACGACATTTCGTACAAGAGAAATTGCCACGTAAAATTAAACGACTTGAAGTGCTAATTTCTACAAAACTATGATGGATATAAAAAAACATGTAATTTCTCATATGAATAAAAGGAGGAGGTTCTCAATTCGACTGTATGTTTTTTTTTGTATGTACATATGTTACGCGATAACTCGGTATTTGTGAACCGATTTTCGTGATTCTTTTTTATGTTCGAAAGGGGGGTACTTCCATAGTGGTCCCATTTCATTTTGAAGGAAATCATCCACCTCTAAGGGTGGCTGTTCACGCATGAAGATTCATTTTTATAAATAGCGCCTAAATTTTCTTAAGGAGCAATTATTTTAATGGTCGATTTTGCTATTTCTCCAATTAAAGCCGCTTTTCTCTCAATATTCTTTGAGTAGTGGGAACCGATTTTTTATTATCCAGTGTCAAGTCCTGTATAGTGGCGAATTTAAGGATATTTCAATAAAACTTAGCAAATAGACGTACTTTTGAGGTCGGTTTTTTTAGTACTCTGTACTGAGATTATTATGAATCTAATTTGCGTACTTATATTGTTTTTTTCAAACAAATCAACGTTTTGGGCCCTTTAAAAGTGTCACGGTCAACTGGTTTAGTCAACCGTGAAAAAAAAAAACAAATATACGCGATAGAGATCCGAAAAAATATTTTCATTTCCTATGTGTAACAATCGTGAATCTAAGAACTCGATAAATAACATATTATTAAAAAATAATTGAAATACTTTAAGGTTCCGTGGTATAAGAACATTTTCGTTTTTTGTAAAGCGGATTCAATTAGTTAGGAAATATTGTCACTTCATTGTTGGTACTTATGTGGTTTGTAATTATTTCAATCATCCATATACGTCATATTTATCACCATTTCTCGTTGTTCTAATTCGCATGTAACTTCTACAACCAGTCTTAGGTACTTCGGTAATCAATTTACCTTCTCAAAACAGACACCTTAATGGGCGTAGGGCCCACTGCACATGCAACATCAACATCCAAGTAAATCTGTACCCTCTGTGATATAAAGTTGAAATTCGTTTATTTGTTACATCAATCTGGCAGTCCCAGGATGACGCGGTCGGTGTTTAGTTCAGCGTGTCGCAATCAGTGCACAAAGCTGGTATTTTATTGTGATTTACATACAGAAAGTGTCCATTGTGGGAGCGTGCCCTGTGACAGTCGCCCTCCAACCTCGCGCCAGCCGCGTGGTCCATCGGACCCACCTTGTATTTGTGTAATAGTGACGTGAAATTTGCGTTTGATTTTGTTAGAGATCGTGATTTTCTTAATTAACTGTTAACGTAATGGAACTTTAGTAGTATTGGTGATTATAATTAGTGATCACACGACACGAGGGTAAGATCTAAAACTGTTTGTAAACAAACTCTTGACTAGTTTCATGTCGGCCTTCATTAAGTCACTTTGCCGAATTCCCAGCTGTATCTCAAAGATGCGCTTTCTTGGTCACCTTACTCAAATTATGGCATTCAGCGACGCGCAACAACGAGACGAGAATTTCCCGTCGTTGAAATTTATTGGATTCCCATCAATACGCACTCCAAAACAAATTAAAGAAATATCTTACAGATGATCTCTGCTTATCGGAACAAAGTTTCATGGCGTCGTCACAGCGTTATTTGCAAAATTTCCTCGTTTATCTCAGATTCTGAATTCGCTTGATTTCATCTGAAGTGCGTTGAAACAATCGAGATTCGCGTCATTCGCTGCTCTCGAAAAATAAAACGTCGCGTTAAGTGAAGCATCATCTCGATCCCTTTTATTATTGATTTGTGTTATTATTTCCTTTGGACGGTTTGTTGAAAAGTTATGTCGACTGTACAGCACATATAGCGTTAGTATATTTAGTATATTATTTTATGCAATTTCTTCAATAAGCGAAGAAAGCTTGCACGGAATATGTAAATAAGGTTGATAGTAACCGACAAAATGTTGACTATTTCCTTCGGATGTTAGTTTTCTTCTAAATCATTTTACGTTGGTAGTACGCAATACGCATGTAAATTTTTATATTTAATACATTAAGTGATACAGTACATTATTGAAATCAGTTCTATATGAGAATCAACATTTTAGTTCAATGGTATGTTTGTAGTTTGTTTGAGTACTAGCTAGCAAGTTTAGGTATCTCGGCCTAGTTAGAGTTGGAATCAAATTCCCGACGCTCGGTTGCATACCCACACGTTGCAACGCTCACCGGGCTAATCTCGAGACAAAGCCGTGCCAAATCCTGTTGCATTTGCATTCGTGCACTTCCCGGTACACTAATAGTACTAGCTACTCGCGATACACTATTCTGAAGCTTGCTTTATCACTGTTCGAACACACCTCACGGATATTCACCGCGTTTTATTGTATCTAACAGCTGCCACCTAAACCACGTTTGAACCTAATTTTAGACGTATCGGAAGTAAAAGCGACCAGTAGCCTAACATAGCTGCATTAGCTAAATCCCCGGCCAGGAAGTTGTTTGAAAGTAATCCGATTGTTCACTCGAATGTTATTCTGCAACTGTATCGGTTTACAGATTCGCACTAAATCATGGTGAGTTGTTTTGCTGTTCTTCGAATTTGCGTTTTGGGAGGTTTGTTTGCTTTATTAATTTGTAAATTTCAAAGTAATTGATCTCATTCATTGTGAATTTTTATTACTTACGAGTTTTACGCGTGAACAGAATATGCATTTGAATACTTGTATATTTGAAATAAAACGCGATGTCTTGAATTAAAATTTATATAGGGATTTGATAACCAATACTGAATAGCTCCGAAATTAACACTTATCTTAAAGTTTACTTTGTACTTCATGGCAAATGTTTTATTTGTGTTAAAAAGGTGGAACGCTAGGTGCGCGCTATATAAAAGTATGATAGAGGCTACATTTTAAGAAAACGTGAGCTAGTGACAAAAACAACCTTTTTCCGAGCCAATAAGCGCGCGTTAAATCAACTTTACTTAAATCTGCCTTCGCGGCCAACAAAGACGTCGAGACAAACTCAAACAAAGTGCTTGGCAATCCCGCACCGGGGTAAATTATTGTTTGTGGACGCGACTTCATATTTGTTTTGCCTCAAACCTTTTTTCTGAGTCTAGTCTGCTCTCGAGCCCTTTGTGGGAAAGTCCTGTTTACAAGTTTGTCAGCTCTAGTTAAACTAAACACCTTTGCTGATTCGTGTTCCTGTTTATAACAGACAGTTGTGCTTTTATCATAGTTCTTATTCTTTAGAAAGTTAAATAAATTATGTAGTCAGATGCACACCGTGAGTGCTGTAATCACTTTTAAGAAAAGTAGGTATGTATGTTGTAGTGTAAATTTCGCTTTCATATTTATATGGCGAACGGCTAAGGAGTGGAATAACCTGCCTGCAGACTTATTCCCTGAACGTTATTCCGTAAAATAACTTGGATCTTTTCAAGGCGAGAGAGAATAGGCATTATTTGGGTGTGCATTCTACATCGTTGACCTCATCGTCACTTTCCATCAGGTGATATGGAGTTCAAATGCGCACTTATATATATATATACATATATATATATATATATATCTAGAATTAGGAGGATGTGTAGTGTAGTATGTAGTGAGGAGGATAAAGTAGTATCAAGATAAATGTATATAGAACTTTTATCAAATGTTTTTAAAACCCAATTGACAATTTCAATATGACAATTTGACAACTTGACGCAAGGTATCATTATTTAACTGCCTCCGTGGCCGAACGATTACCATGCCGAACTGCCACGCAGAGATCCCAGAGTCGATTCCCGGTCCGTAGAAATATTTGTATGGCCTACATTTATTTCTCTCGTGAATTTGGCTGTAATTTGTCGTTGGCTATGTATGTGTCCATGGCACCCACGATTCAGGGTTTCCCTAGTGCGGGGCTATGATTGTGTGAGTGTGTGCGTTATTATTAAATAAAAAGAGAAAAAAAAATATCTCACTGATGGGCACTCCGAGGTGCAGCTACTTACTAATATATGGTGAAATGGGACAAAACTTCCTCTTTCCTATGGCCCAACAAACCATCTTTCACTATACGGGTCGAATATTGGAAGAGGCATGCCATTTGTTGACTTCCCACAATTTCACAAATCTGTATCTTTGTCCCGATGTACTTTGTCCTCTTTTAGCTGACACAAGCTTGACTATTAACAGAAGTTAAGAAAGATTATAATTTGCAGCGGAGGCGTCGGAGGTCATCGCCAGCAAACCGCCCGTGAAGTCGCCGTCTGCGCCTGTGACGGCCCCCAGCCCCACACCGAAACGTGAGTACCTTTTTTATCGTTATACAATCTTGATGGAACTCTGTAAAGTTTGCAATACACATAGCTTACTTATACTAGACCATTTAGAGCATGACTCTCTTATGTTCTGCAGAATTCTCTTGACCATTGAGACTAAATGACGGGATCAACCTTTAATTGGCTCGTTAAACAAGATTTACCAGTATTATAATGTGCTAAATTGCACATCAGTTTCTTTCAACTACATATAAAAACAGCTTAAAAAATGCAAAAAGGATTTTATCCGCGCGTTGATATTGCTGTCTCATGTGAATAAACGTTTTTGTGTAATGCCTCTAAGTACATATTATGTACTGCTGTGCTCTAATTATTTATGATTAAATTTTTGTAGGCGAAATATCAGTCTTGTAAATTATTACAGGTTTCATTTTCGATTGTGATTTTCGAGGATCGTCTACCTTGACCTTTTCTTGTGGTTAACGATTGTTTTTTTTTCGTGCTCCAAAAATGAGTCCTTTATTGTGAGACGTATGAACAATCCCTTTGTTACGTGTAACTTTAAACTCGACTCGAAACGAAAAAGCTAGCGACAGAAATTGTTGAATGAATGCATTGCTATGTTCACATCCCAGTACAAACATAGTACGCTTGACTAATAGATGGGTATAATTTGTGTGCAGTTTTCTACTCATTATTACTGTATTCATAATTCCAAATAAGCATTGATGTTAGACGAACTTCGGAACATATAAGAATATTCTAGCAACACATTTGATTTTCTCAGGCTCGAAATAGACAAAAATCCCAGACAATTTTTGATTTTTATGTGAACAAGGACGAGACGTACTAGTCCTGCATGTCCATAACAGTTGCAGTGCCACTAAGAGCTTTACATCGCAAAGATATGAGAGGCACTGCCTCCGCGCCTCTCACCCTGAGACATAAGTTGACAAGTCCCGTGTGCATGTAATTTCACCAGCGCCCTTACCTTTCGATGCTGAAACGCATTAATGCTCATGTTACTGCTTGGCAGCAGAAATAGGTAAGGTGGCAGTACTTCTCTGGACAAACTCTTTCATAAAGAGCTCTACTGCTACTAAAACTATTTTATTTATTACTTATTTATCGGTTGAATGCCGACATCACCTATGCAACGTTCTTTTGACTCACCATATGCATTGTCCTATACATTGACAGTCTATTTTTGCTGCACCAAAAGTATGTCATGCAATAGTTCTCATTTGCATTTGGCCATATATGCGTATTATCTTCTCAGCTATTTCTACTTGGCATAGAGAGCAAGATATGCATTACGTTCGGTCAGTAAGCATTAGCAAGTGAAATTTTGCGCTAGCGATGCGACGACCCTTCGTTTGACCTGTTCGTTAGAGTAACTGCATCAATGTAGGTATTTGTAATATTTCTATATTATTCAATTAACCTACATAGCAGTGATGCCAGACCTATGCTTTTATCCGTAGTTCTATGGAATTATAGCTTAACACACAGAAATTAATGACAAATCTCTAGACTTATGTTCCGTCCACCCAAACAAATATTTCGACTGAAAGATTTAAACCCAATGTCGTAAAATAAATTTAAAAAATAAACCGATACAAACTGAACATAGTTACTACTTTTTACAAAAAGTGCAATAAAAAGTATCTTTTATTTAACTAAAATAAGTATAATAATATAAAAAACGTCACACCGCCTGTCACGAGTAACTGACACTGAACTAGGAAGTCTTTGGATCTAGGTTTAAGACTAGTGTAATTCCAAGTGGTGAGAGATAAAAAAGTATGTCTGTAGATCTTCCGATCTTTCTAGAGGCAAGTTACTTTACGAATTTTTAGAAATTAGATCTGGCAGCATTGACTGTATTCTTTATTGGAAATTGTACCTCACATCATGTACTTGAACGTTCAAATTTGCAGTCCAAAAAACTGAGTACCTAAACACCCAGTGATTAGAAATTAACAATACCTCATTTTTATTTAAATTGTTTTTGTAATTTCTTGAATCTTGCTCATTTTCGTAATGAGAATAATTAGTCTGTTGGTTTGTTGACAGTGTGTTACCATGTTAGCATCGTCATAAACATTTAAAAAATTACATTTTGATTTGTCTTATAAATTTATTCACAGTATGTTGCGCCATACAAATAGCAATTCCAAAAGATAATATCTGGGTACTTAATTTAAAGAAAGATAAACATTTATTAGAGGCATTAACTATAAGAAAAAATTTGAATATTAACATGTCATTTGATAAAGGAAGCAATATAATGAGTTGGCTAAAAAGTCCGTGGGGCTTTTACCACTAGCTAACTTAAAAAAAAATTTGAAATGTTATATTTTCTGTGGTCATTTAAAAAATAATATTCTAGCACGCATGTTATGTATAGGCGGGAAAGTTCTAAACTGAACGAAAAACGCTCAAATCGTAAAGTTGCTATATTTCATCATGATAATGCAAAACTGCAGCCGTGGTAGTCTAATGGTTTGATCTACTGCCTCTGAAGCAGAGGTCGTAGGTTCAAATCCGGGCTTGCACCTCCGAGTTTTTCGGAATTTATTTGCGAAATTTAATTGGAAATTTACCATGAGTGTTTTGATGAAGGAAAACATCGTGAGGAAACCTGCACACATCTGCAAAGGAATATCATGATGTGTGTGAAATTCCCAATCCGTATTGGGCCCGCGTGGGTACTACAGCCCAAGTCCTTCTCATTGTGAGAGGAGACCAGTGCCCAGCAATGGGACTGTATATAAGCTTACTATTATTATTATACTGCCAAGCTTGTTGTTGTGTTGAGATGGGTTACCACATCTTATTACCGTATTCGCTCGACATAGGCCCTTCAGATTTTCACTTGTTTCGGTATTAACTAAATTCTTTAAATGCATAAGAGCGGTTGCACACGGCGACGATGCATTTGCTAATCGTCTACCTTTACACACGCGCGCGATTTTAAGCAGTTCACACTAGGTACTACTCGCTACACTTGGGATTTATAAGCGCGTTTGAATCGATGCAGTAGCGCGTTTGCATCGATATGCAATCGCCTGTAAATCGCAAGTGCTAAAAGTCACCGTCTGTAACCAACCACTCTAAGACTTTGATAACGAAGATACCATAAAACGACACCTAAGTGCTGTATTTTATAAGACAGGAATTATTAAGAAAGGAAATTCTAAGTTACCCGTGAAATGACTAAAGATTGAAAATTAACATACCCAACTGATTAAAGTTTTATATATTTTTTAAAGTTTTTCATTTATACTTTGATAACGCACAGATTTTTTGGTCAACTAAATACTTATTATTGAAAAAAGAGAGTGAAAACAAAAACAAAAAAAGATTTTCCACCTTTAGCTCTCTTATTAAGGTAGAAAATTTTATCGAGAGACATCCAGACAGAGACGTAAACGTTTACCCTTCGGATAGCCAAACTTATTATTTGACACGTACATACATAAATATTTTCTCACGTGTTCTGAGATAATAATATTAATATAATAATAACACATAGGGTCGTATTCTAGAACTCTACTCAATGCTCAAGTCAGGATTGCACTCGAAACACAAGCACTGGAAATACGACCCTAATGGCAGGGACTTGAGTATGATTTCGAGTGCTTTAAACCATACTCAAATCCTGACTTGAGCATTGAGTAGAATTCTAGAATACGACCCTAAGATTATCTCATATTCATGAATCTCCACATTTCGTGTATGAATGAATTATCTAGCTTCAGAGAAAATGTCCTAGCCCACGTCAAAGATAGTTAGGATTTTTATATTCGTTATTCTGTTGTGACGTTTGTTTTAAACGCAACAAATATTTATGCTTCATTTACCACGGAAAAGCAAAGAGTAGGCGAGTGAGACTGGAAATTCGAAAATTGTCTGTTCATTTCCCATAAGTCCCTGGTACATTTTGTCACGTTCATATGTTCTTTATTTATTTTATTTCGTGGAGTAAAATACGGTGGCCGAGCGCGTGCACTCGACACATTCACCTTATAACCCTTTGAGTGCGTGCCAAAAAGGCGGCATCAGCTAGCCGACCGGCTGCGGCGCTGTGCGTCGTGTGCGCCGTTTGGCACAGTGGCCCGGATCTATACGGCGATTATGTCATGCACCACGATTCGGGACGTCCGTTTGTTTTCCAGACTCGACGAGAAAAATATTACGAATGCGTTTTTATTGTATTGTGTCGCGAAAAAAACCAAGCAATTTATTAATGTTGCGTCGTAACAAACCGTTGAAAAAATGTGCGCAACGGAAATGGGACGAACATTATTTTGCGACTGGTTTTCTATTATTTTTACACTTTTACCGGGTTGTATTTCTGAATTGAAAACTGTAATTGACTCGAAAACATGTTTCGCTTCACTTGTCCTCTGCTGCTCATCTATTCCCTTTACTCAGAAAAGTCCCTTTACTGGGTAACAGGGTACATTCAAAGTACTTATAATAAATAATTAAATTATTATATTTATTAATGAATATGACATTCACCGTATTATTATACTTTAATATACATTTATTAGTTATTAAGAATCCATATTGACATTTTCCAGTATGCACTTGACATTGTTAGTTTAATTCAATTATTTATTTAGTTTCACTAATTATGTTGATTTTGTATATGTACTATTGTGTAGTTATGACTTTCTATTATATAATTATTAATCATTATTTCGAAGAGTAGTATGAAATGACATGTAATTGTATTTGAATGAAATTTGTAATATTGAGAGAAATAAAATAAACTAAGCTAAACTATTCTGTAGTATACGTTAGTACTTAGTTAGTTATATTGAGAAGAATTAAATAACATTCATATTCAGCTATTTATTTTCGCTCTACGAATTAATCTACGTCGTACTTAATACAATGACGAGGTAAAACGTATTACCTACCTGACCTTCAAGGTCAGTACACAATACTTTCCCTCGTAAAGGACAATATTCCATTTATTTCCAATATTATTCATGTAAATGTAACCTACT